TTCCCCTTTGTTTATGTATCTCTTGACTTTCTTTCTCCTTTTCTCCCATTTTTGTTTTTGTTTTTTCTTTCTTGGGGAGAAGATTTTTGGATTTCTCCGTGATGAGTCCCTGATCTTTTAATTGGGAATTCAAATGAAGGGGGGTCTAGTTTGCTTGATCCGAGTGAATTCGTATTCCATTGTGTAAGTTCGAATGAAGTCACTTCGGATTTGAAAGTTGGGGCGAGGTTGACTTTTGATTTTCAACTCGGGGCGGAGTCAACCTTGATTTGTATTCGAACGGGGTCGAATTTAGACTTGCCAGCTTTGGCAAAGTCAGTTTTGACTTGTATATTTGAGCGAGGTCAAACTTAGAGTTGCCAATTTAGGCGAAGTCAATCTTGACTTATATATTCGAACGAGGTCGAATTTAGACTTGCTAACTTAGGCGAAGTTAATTTTTCATGGCGAGTTTAGCGATGGTAGGGGCGAGCTCGCACGAGATCAAACTATGACCCGTTATAAGTTTGACGGGGTCAAGCATTGATTTGTTGATTTGGGTGGGAAAATTTTTACTTCCCCTCAGCGATGGTCGACGACCGTAAGGGTGTTAATTCAAGCAAGGTCAAAATTGTAACCCATTGTAAATTTGAGTGAGGTCAAACTTTCTTTTCGTTTGGTGATGGACGATGGCCGTAAGGGTGTTAATTCGAGCGAGGTCGAAATTGTAACCCGTTTTAAATTCGAGCAAGGTCAAAATTTCCTTTCGTTTGGCGATGGCCGATGGACATAAAGGTGTTAGTTCGAGCAAGATCGAAATTGTAACCTTTTGTAAATTCGAGCGAGGTTGAACTTTCCTTTCATTCAGCGATGGCCGATGTCCATAAGGGTGTTAATTCGAGCGAGGTCAAAATTGTTACCCGTTATAAATTTGAGCGAGATCGAACTTTCCTTTCTTTTGGCGATGGACGATGGACGTAAGGGTGTTAATTCAAGAGAGGTCGAAATTGTAACCCGTTGTAAATTCGAGCGAGGTCAAACTTTCCTTTCATTTGGCAATGGCCGATGGCCGTAAGGGTGTTAATTCGAGCGAGGTCAAAATTGTAACCCGTTGTAAATCTAGCGAGGTCGAACTTCCCTTTCGTTTGGCGATGGTCGATGGCCATAAGGGTCTTAATTCGAGCTTGGTTAAAATTGTAACCCGTTGTAAATTCGAGCGAGGTCAAACTTTCCTTTCGTTTGGCGATGGACGATGGCCGTAAGGGTGTTAATTCGAGCGAGGTCGAAATTGTAACCTATTGCATTACTTGTATTGGAGAACCCATCGCCGTATTGTTTATGCGTGCGTCGGGGTAAGTCCCGGTTTGCTTAATTTCGCTTTCATTAGAGAGTACCGTGCGTCGAGGTGAGTCCCGGTTCACTTAACTTCGCTTTCATTGGAGAGTATTGCGCATTGGGGTGAGTTCCGATTTGCTTAATTTCGCTTTCATTGGAGAGTACTGTTCGTCGGGGTGAGTCCTGGTTTGTTTAACTTTGCTTTTATTGGAGAATAACGTGCATTTTATGGGCCCATCGCTCAGTCCCTGGTTCTGGAGATTGTTTCTTAATAATTTCAACTCGTTCTGAGCTATTTCTGTTATTTGTAGTATGGCACGACTTAGAGGGCTTGGCTCGGTCATTGCTTAAAGATGGTATAAAACATTTTCCCGGTGTGTTTGGTGGCGTTCGTTCCTTGTTCACGTATCTGTGAGAATGTTCATGTTCCTATTCTGAACCAAAAAGAGAGTGTGATAAGTTAAACCCAAACAAAATTGCATGTTACCTTGGCCTGGTAAGTCGATGAAAGGGGGAAGACGCTCTGGGTCACTCGCTTTGCCCCGTGCTCGAATGGCGGTTTCAGATTCCGCGTCCGTGTTTGGCTTCATCGTTAGTCACGTCGTGGGTTGGACTTACCTTGCCCGTTGGTATATCAAGACCGAGTCCCAATACGATCCCATCCGATATGCGCAAACAATAAGGGAAATATGTCATACTTTGTTCATAAATCACATAGTGTGTGTGGGTACGAAAATAAGGCAGGACATGCCCGTTATTTCAAAGAATCACACAGTAGGCTATTGACCCTTCCTAAGAGGTGGGAGTACAGACCGACATATAAGGTGAATACGTCAAATAAGATTACGGTCATGCTAAGTACATAATGATGACCCTACTTTAAACATGCATATGACTTGCCAAACCCATCACTACAGATGAGGCGTGGGTTTTGCATAGACATCAGACATAATTTCGATTTCATATAGAGATCTGACCTAAATTGGTTCGGTTATCTCAAAAGCTTATCTATCACTTTTTCGAGTTGATGTTTATACTGAGATGGTGATGCTATGATAGCCTGGAAGTGATACTTGGTTGGTTTTAGATCTAAAGGAAACTAAAATTTTGGCTAAGAAATTTCCGCAAGCGACGCCAAATTGTTTGACCAAAAAGTGTCAAACTTTTTGTTAAACTAATTAATGAAGAAAATAGAGGATACATCTTAGCCAAAGATAATTAACTCTAGATCTAAGCACATCAGGTAAGAGAATCAGATATAATAAAACTTATAAATTTTTCGGTATCATATAAGATATCAAATATAGATAATACGCTTACATTCTTGACATATCATCCCGTAATGTGGTGATAAAAACGGAAAAGATGGAATGCCGTTGAGAGTAACGAGATCTATCTTCCTTGATTCAATAATCACGATTACAGGGATTTGTACTGGCTATTTAAGCCTTTTCTTGGTCTTATGTTCTTCTCCTTTCTCTAGGAGAGGAAGCCCCCTTTTCTTGTCTTCTTACCTCCTATATGTATTATCAGTATTCCCTTTTGTCTATCGGTCCTTAACCATAACGCATTCATCCCTTGATTATACTTCACGTTGCCTCCCTCAAATACCACGATATTTACTTCACCATACAGGCTTTTTGATGGCTCGATCTCGGCAGTGACTGAGATATTCATTGTTATTACACCTTATGGGTACGACCACGGCTTAGTTGACCTCTTACCATTCCTGTTAGCACTAATCCACGTGTGATCAGATTTTGACCCATACAATTAGAGTGATTACCATAAAATTTATTTAGCAAAAGAAAAATTCTTTTTTTCAAGTTATGTTAAATAGTCCCACGTTATTGTACTTCTCCTTTAATTACTAAGTAACTTTTAAGGAAAATTAAGGCAAGAAACTAACATGTACAGTAATACAATTTTAAATCTATTAGAAAATTGAGGCCCCAAAATGTAAGGGGCCTAAAGCACTCGCTTGAGTTGCTTTACTCCTAAGCCGCCATTAGCTGGGCGTACCTACAGAAATAGATGTACTCTAAAAACAACAATAAAAGAATGAATTTGTGCATCACAAGCCCATCTAGCAACCAAATATGGTTAGTACTTTACGGTATTTAGGTGTTGTTAAACACTGATAAAGTGAACAAGCTTGAATACCCGTTGAATTATTCGCAAGTAAGACTTTTGCCCATTTTAATATGTTTTCTAGGACGTAGCTAGGTTCAGAATATAGTGATTTTATGTAATATAAAATGATGAACATTTTCAATTCTATTCGAAATATACCTTTGTGTTCTTATTTTTTGGACAAGGTAACAAGTTATTAATGTCGACGCTCCTAATTAACTTGTTGGGAATTCAGTTGAAGTTGTTTATCTATTTTTTTGGAAGCCAGATAAACAAAAAAAGAGAGTTCAAACACCCATAATCTGTGACTGAATAACTGAAGATAGAGATTTGAGGAACAATTGCAACATGTTAGTCCTTTACTTTTGTAAGCTTCACAAATATAAGGTGTTTAATTTCATGTTTGGACCTGTCCAATATTCATATTAGACTTGAGGAGGAGAAGTTTGCATATATTCCTCTTCCATCTATTCACTTTTAATATATAAGTAGGAGTTAATGCCAATTTACCAGTACCGCAAGCTCGCTTTACTTAAAATAGTGAAGATAGAGGCTTCAAATAAAATTGAAGATAGAGATTAAAATCAAGGCGAAATATACTATATAAGATTTAAAGGGATCTTATGAACTATGTAAGCAATACCTTATTCAGCTTATATGCCGAGTTTTTTATTTTTTATTTTTGTATTTTGAAAATATAAAAAGCATTTCTTGAAGGCAGGGATAAAGTCTGCATACATTTACCCACCCCAGACCTCACTTGCGGAATCACGCTGAGTTTTTTGTTGTTTCGAAATATAAAAGGACTATTGGTGTCTTCAGTTGAAATCTCAGAAATAAAATGATTAATGTGTTTGTTTATGTGATTATGTGTGTCATTTCAGGAATGCCATTACAGAAAACTCGTTATCCTAGACAAAAAATTTCAAGTAACACATTGATTATTGAATTCAATGAATTAAAGTTGTCTATGCCAAATATGAACAAATGTTAAAGAAGAATCCTTTTTTTAACTCTAGTGCCTGGAACTCGCTTTAGGATCCGAATAGTCTGAATTCGCATAAGAAAATCTCACTTAAAAGGTAAAGAGCCAAAAAATCTCATTTTCACGATTTCATTCCCAGGAATCAAACCCAATTTCAATAACTTAAATGCTTTCAAGTTAACTATTGAAAGTTTAAATCTCGAGTTATTGTTGAAAAATCAATTTGTGACCAAACTTAATCAAATTAAATTTTCCTTAATAAAATAGTACTTCAATATGATTGGAAAGATCAGAAATTTTTAAATGATCCCTAAGGTAGCTCTTTTAAATTATTACTCAAATAACGCCAAAAAAGCAAATCTAATCACGTGATTATGCATGTGGTCATCATCAGATTTCCCTACGAATTTCCAAATCTATCCTCATTGAAGCGCGCGGACCAGAGATGCAAAGTGAGGTCAAAAGAGTCAATTCATATAGTACAGGCGCGCTCCTTAACAAAATGGGATTCAAATTCCCGCTGTGGAATCTGAATTTCAAACTTTCAAAAACCCTCCAATGGCTCATTTTCACCCCGCCAAAGTCAACAAACCCTTTCTTAACGGCTCCTTCTTCTTCCTAAAGCACGACTTTTCTCTCTTTTATATCGATTCCATTTCAGAATCCTTACAAAGTTTGGCCATACACGCACACACAGTTGAATTAATTTTCTCAAAGAAAACAATTATGTCGTTAGCTTCAGATCCTTCAAAAGATTCTAGATCTACTTATTGTCGTAAACAGAAGTCTCTCGGTCTCCTATGTTCCAAGTATGAATCTGAGGTTTTGTTAATTTTATTTTGAGTATGAATCTGAACATTTGCTGATTTTTTTAAAAAAATCTATTTTGTGAATTGGTGCAGTTTTTTGAGCTTATACAATCGGGAAGGTATTGAAACCATAGGGCTTGATGATGCTGCACGGAGATTAGGTACTTATATCTTCTTTAACTTTATTTATTTTGGGTTTTTTTGATACTTATGGGTTTTTTTGGGCCCTTTTATATATAGGGGTGGAAAGACGGCGGATCTATGATATTGTGAATGTACTGGAAAGCATTGGTGTAAGATCTACTTATATATTAAAACTCGTAACAATTCGAGTTTTGTTAATTGTAAGGTTCTATTTTTTTAAATCTTATATTTCTAGGTTTTTGTTAATTCAGGTTCTTGCAAGGAAGGCTAAGAATAGGTATTCATGGAAAGGGTTCGGAGCAATTCCTTGGACATTGCAACAATTGAAGGTACATGCACTAGTTTAGAGTTCTGAATTAAGTTATACACAGTGACATTTATTTTTTACACTATCAATGTAATTTAACATGATAGAACATGTTACTTACCATTTGTTTTAGGATATCAATCAATGTAAAATTAAATATAGTTACTTTCAATTATTCTTTAAGTGGTATGATTGTGTAAATTCTTTTAGATTGTTAATGCTTAGACCATAAACTCTTCAATTTTTGGCTTACCTAATTGTTTTCTTTTTGGTCTCAATTAATAATTCGTTAGGAAGAGGGTCTAAAAGAGAATGTCAGTGGATTTGATGGATCTAGCTCTGCCAAGGTAAGTTCTGGACTGCTCTCATTTTTAAGTATTGTTTAGTTTAAGTCCTTTGTCTAGTGAGATGCTATATTTTCCTTATTTTTGCTCCATGTAATATCAGGGTTCAGATGATGATGATTCAGATTCAGATTCCAAACCAATTGTTTCGAGTCAGACGGAGACACTAAACCCCAATTCCAACTTTGCAGCAGCGTCCAAATCTGGTGTGTTTGCTTTGTTCCTTCCTTTAAGTGTTGCTTGTAAATGACATTCAATTGTTTTAATTAATACAGCTACCCTTTGGGAGTACTTTCTGAGACATCTTGGGGTATGTTTTAACAGACAATAGAAGAGAAAAATCATTGGGACTACTTACACAGAATTTTGTCAAGCTCTTCCTCTGCACCGATGTAAGCAAAAAACTTTCCACTATCAATAACTTGTTTCTCTATTTGGTTTCTATATATTTAATTCTTTGTGGTGATTCTGTTCAGGTTGATATGATTTGTCTTGATGAGGCAGCAAAAATACTGTTAGGAGATGGGAGACCTCCTGCGATGACAAGAAGTAAAAATCCACACCTTATTTTTTCTTGGTTAAGAATAACTGAAATACTTATGTAGATGAATGAACTGTTAGTATCTTTTAACACCACTGTGCTGCCTATCGATGCTCCTTCAAGTAACTTTGTCTTTTCTTACCTATGCAGCCAAGGTTAGGAGGCTATACGATATTGCAAACGTTTTGTCTTCTATGAAATTTATTGAGAAGGTAATCATCCTTAACTGTTATTCATTGAAAAAAATTAATTAAGCAGAAAACTAAAAATATACCTAAAATTTTGTTTAAGAAACTCTAGTTAATAATATTGCTGCTCGCATGACTTGCTGCAGACCCATCACCCAGAGACAAGGAAACCTGCTTTTAGATGGTTGGGGATGAGAGAAAGATCAAATGATAAGTCAGTTGATACTCTTGGTGCTAATGAGTCCAAGAAGAGGGTATTTGGGACTGAGCTTACAAATACAACTATCAAGAGGAACAGAGTAGCACTACCTATGGATGGTATTTCAGATGAAGCAACTAGGAAACAATTGCTAACTGAAGTCAAATGTGAGAACCTGGAAAATGACATTCACTGTCCTAAACAAGAGCCTGGTTTAACATCAAGCAAAAAGAGTTACCATTTTGGTCCATTTGCTCCTCCAAGCCTAGCCCAAGCTGAAGCGTCTGAGGCTGACGGGATGAAATGGGTTCATGACTGGGAAAGTCTAGCCTCCACTTACCGTCCTCAGTATCACAACCAAGGTATGTTGATTTTCACTTCCTCAAATACATTAATGATTCAATTGATTATCATTAAGAAGATGTTAAACACCAAAAGGCAGGCCAATGTGTTCTACTAGGGATATACTTGTAAATATCAAATTGGTGTCTACTTTTAATGTGATCTATCTACCAGGGCTACTTGGATTAATATGTTGAATCACTTTTTCCTAGTGCACTGAAACAGCCACTTATGTAATTTAGTGTCTGTTCTATTCTTAATTTGCTGACTGATTACTTGCTCCATGCGTGTGCAATTTGATGTGTACACCAGTTTATCTTCTTTGGCTAAGTCTTTTGCAAATGATCCAATATTCACCTTTTCCAATTGCATTTACTGTTTAATTTAACACGAGGATGAAGCATTCAATATCTTGGCTCAAACAAATAATGGGTTCCGTTTTCACATGGCTCAGTACATCCTTAATAATTGGTTCTTATATCGTTGCTTATTTGATGTTCTTGAGCTTAAGCAAAAACTCACTGGCAAATTTGGTTTGTCTGATATGTTTCAGCACTGAAAGATCTTTTTGCACATTACGTGGAAGCATGGAAATCATGGTACTTGGAAGTTGCTGGGAAGAACCCAATTCAGCTGATTTCTTGATGTGCTCTTTCTAGATAAGAACAGAATTTCGAAGATAAAACTGCCTTCACATACGAGAGATGGTCTGACGTCGAATGCACATTCTCGTTGCATCAACTTTCAATGAAAAAATAGTTGCATTATTCAGTACTCTGTTGGCTTATTGGCAGATTATTGAGTTCAAATGTAGACCAACACTAATTGAATGTACATTTTTTGGTACTTGTTCAGTTAATATGATTCTTTGAGGAGGGTTCAAATGCTTTTTGCTCAGTGTATCTACTGTGATGCTGCCAACGTAACCCCTTCTGCCCCCAAATATCTCAAACCAACCGACTTGTATACTTGATGAGCTCCAGCAACTTATCTTTTGGCGAGGATACACCTGTATTTAGACCTTTGAATCTATAAGCTATTCGTGTGCTTCCCTTTGAAAGTGAAAAAGGAAAAAAGAAGTTAGATCAAATTGGATACATTTGGGAGTGATTGAGGCAGAATGCAAAGGGGGATGGCAAGGGCAATGGGTGGGTATTTTACTTAAGTGAATGAATTCTCGCATCCTTGGACGAAAAAGCAAGGATTATGGCTTTCACTAGAGTTGTCAATATGGGTTGGGCTGGGTTAGCCTAGCCCATACCATATGGGCTTTAGCAATTGATGGGCTGGGTTGGGCTAGTCCCCCATTTTGATAGGCTATATAATGGTTAGCCCACCCAGCCCTAGGTGAGCTGCGGGCCCTCACGGACCAGCCAATCATTTTTAAAAATATAATTTTATATTTTTTTTTTAAGTTCTAACCTTAAAAAAGATAAATATTTCAAAATTAAAAAATATCTTATTAAAATTTAACAAAACTTAATAACTTTTTATACCATTCAAATATATCACAATAACACTAAAAAAGTAATAGACAAGACTATATTTTATTCACTAAAAGTTAAAATTCAAAACAAACAATTCAAGAGAACATCTATGATGCTTATGAGATATCCAACAAATCATCTTAATGAAACACATTTGGATCCGCTTGTTACAAGATTGTCTTAACGTTTTTACTTTCATCTACATTTATAATTCATATGCAATATTAATTAGTTAAATATTAAGAATAATAAAATTTTAAAAATTAATAATATTCAAATTCGCATAAAAAATATCACCAGTTAGAGTTTGGGAAAAGCTGCGCATCCAATTTCGAGTAGTAAAAAGTGTTTGGACATTTTCATGACGGATGCAACTTCTGTACTTTGTTAGAACACGCTCATCAATGCTATGTTGATTCCGATGCTACAATGGTAATAGGAATACTAAGTACATCACGTGCCATCACTGAAAAATCGGGATATTTTCTAGAATGGTTCTTCTAATATATAACAACATCCATCTCTTGAAACTTCTCAAGATCAAGCTTTGGTTCCTTTAAGTAAAGATCTAATTTTGACTTTCCATCACTAGAGGCAGTATACTTTTTATATTTTATATATTTTAAGTAAATATTTTTATTAGGCTCCCAGCCCGGCCCAGCCCAACCTCAGTCAAGTCTCATTGGCAACGGGCTTACTCGGACCGAGCTTAAATGCCTCGTTTTTAAATAGGCTCCAAAAACTCCAACCCAATCCTACTAAATCATGGGCTGGGCTGGCCCGGTCCTACGGTCCAAGCCCATATTGACTGGCTCTAGTTTTCATGCTTTACTACCTATGCAACTTCAGAATCTAGTGGGACTCAAGCACAAGATTATGTGCTAAAACCCAGGAACTAGATCATTTTGAACCTTGCCTGCTTGGTTAGAAGTTTCTGTCTTACTTAGAGCCCGTTTGGACATAAGAAATTTTTCCTTTTTTTTCTTCAAAAAATTCACTTTTTTTTTTCGAAATCAGCGTCTGGTCATAAAATTTCCAATTTTCACTTGAAGATGCATTTTGTAAATTTTCGAAAATTTGAAAAACTCCAAAAAGCTGTTTTTCAAAATTTTCACTCAAATCACTCACAAAACTTAAAAAACAACCCAAAATCATATTCATGTCCAAACACAACTTTCAAATACCATTTTCGGTAAAAAAATTCCCCCTATTTTGGAATTTTACAATTTTTATGTCCAAACGCCCACTTAGTATCGCTTTTTTGCAGCTGAGAGGCACAAGTAACAAAAAGAATAAAAAAGGTATAGAACATTTTCAATTACTTTTCCTGCACTGATGTCTGGTACTCCATTTCTGCTCAAAGTTTACATCATCTAAAAATGTCAGGTGGAACAGACGTAGAAAGCCATTTTACACAAATCTTAATGACCTGAAAAGGAAAAGGAAACAAAAGACTCGTCCAAAATAGAAGTAGATATATACACACCACCCCAGAAATATTACCGCTGTAATTAGAAGGGGAGACGAGAAAAGGAAAGATCTAGTTGCTAGCTGCCTGTCATGCCCTGATGCATAAGTTGCCAACTTTCAACGAGGGCAACTCACAATGAAGATGCTGATTCTGCTAATTGTGGTACCAATCTATGAATTCTCCATACTCTTCTTCCATCAATCTCCTCCACAGAATAGCGCAATCTGTTAACAACAGCACACTTACATGCATAGGTCAACAGCAATTAATATCAGAAATCATTTCTGAATTGTCAAAGGCAGATCCGTTGAAAAACGACTTTAGTACTACTCGTAAAGTTGGTAGGAGCAATTATAGAGATAATGGTGAAGGATTTTCCCATTTATGCCTGTATAATTCTGTTCTCTTCTATTAATACAGGAATGCAGAAGATCTATTCTTTCATATTTCTGGACAAAGATTCTGACTAGTTTTTAAATAAATCTACAAGTACCCATTCCAATGCAATATATGAACACTTAGAAGAGGTAGTCAAGTGTTTAACATTCATGATCCCAAAATTTTTAGTGATCTTTCTGTTGAAACCAAATCACTTTATTTGCAGATTCATGATTAATTGAATTTAAAGAGCGATCAATTTAAGCCCAATACAATCCATTATGTTGAAATACAACAAAGATGGAACTGGGACCTACTTGAGGTGCACCTGAGATTCCTCTCCCTGCCAAAACTCGAAAAACTCTGGAATAAGCCGGTAACCACCCCAGTGTTTGGGTCTTGGTATGGAAGTTCTGCATGTTAGGAAAAAAGGATTACTTTGGGGTTTCACATGAATCAAGACAATCACATTTTTTCCTGAGAATGGAAAACAAAAGTATGAATAGGTTGTTTTCAACAGATCTTAGTCAGATACTTTTCCAAGAACATATACACTAAAGGTATAACTTTTACATGTTCGAACAAGGAGACAATTGCAACTATTGAAGAATTCTATCTGAAGATTGTAAATTCAAAAAGACATCCTTTTATTCTTGGCATGGGATAGCAATCACATGACTCAATGCATTTTACCTGTATCCCAATCAATAGAATACTTCCGCTAGGCTATGTTGGTCGGATACGGGTGTGGTAACCCGACAAGGATGCGGATCTAAAAGTTGGATTCTTCATCACCTAATTATTAGGATTCGGGATACGGATAGTAGTATGGACATGCACACCAAGATATAACCAATAAATGTATATTGTCACATATCTAAGTTTATGTTTCGACAATTAATTAAAAGTTAGCAAATTAAAGCTAGTCTGTAATTAAATCTTTGTGAACGCTTAATATGTTATACATAAGGTATCTCATATAATAGCCAAGTGTTCAAGTACATAATGTGTGTGTGTGCGTGTATATATATATATGACATAAATCAAACCAAATACCCAATCAACCTATATTTCTTGGTCATAGATGTAGTCAAAGCACCCAAGTTAGGTTGACCAGATCCAGTGTGAATTCCAGAATCACACACAAAGTCACACCCAAACCCAAATTGTGTCGGATCGACACAGGTGTGGCAAGGATTTTGAAGAATCTGAGCAGCATAGGCACTAGCATAGATGGAATATTGAAACCAGAGCAGAGCTAGTCACAGATTAGGACAAACAAAGAAGATTTCAGCAATGTGTAAAATTACTGACCTATCATGGTACTTCTCCTCTAATTCTCTGTACTGTTGACGGAGAACCTCTCTTTCATGAATCGGTCTGCTCTGTACTTGCAGAGGAGATGGAAAATTAGCTGTTGATGCATGTATACAAAATCATAAAAATATTGGAATTTAGAAATTCCATTTGTGTAAATACTAGACAAACCTGCTTACTAACTATTGGTCTAATCTGGTTATCTCGAGAAAGACTAGAGAAGTATTGTTCAGATTCCTCCTCAGAAACTTGCTCCACAAATCCCTCCACTCTTACCTACAAATGACTTTGTAATGAAGCATAGCAAGACAACTATATAAATGTAGGTGCATTATGTAGTCAGTTATTTAATTATAATATTTCAGAGAGTGAAGGAAATATCATCTACAAGCTATTTCTAGGTGCTGGAGTTGGATTGTGCAGCATTATATGAGCTATTGGATTGTTGGGAATAAAGCTGTAAGTCCATATCACAGAAAGCAAATGTTCGTTTCAGGTTTCTTTCTTTTGTTTTTTTATTCTTCCTGCCAATTTGAGGTTTTATGAGAGTCATCAAAGTAATCATGGCACTTCCTCTTTAACTTCATTCTCTCTCTTCACATTTTATCTTAATCATGGGAAACTGAACCTTGGACTCTGAGCACGAAATACCACAATCCTGCAGATCACTCTTCAGCACCTCATCTAGTCAAAATGCACCTCTTCAGCAACTCATCGAGACTATCACAATCCTGCAGATCACTCTTAAGTAACTGAATGCATATTTAGGACAGGATTTCTGAACCAGCAATTTGACATTTCCATATATATGTTAATTATGAATATTCTAAAAGAAGTCTATGTCAATTATGACTAATGGTCATATACCAATATAACACAATGTCAGTAGATATAAGTGCTTTCCCAAAATGCAGGAAGTGTTAGAGGTGGAATCAGTTTTAACCTGGCGCTTCAAAGGACCCCAATAAAAGAGAAGTGATGCTTGAGGATTTTCAAGAATTTCACGAGCTTTTCGGCTCCCATAGTTGGTTTGCCTGCAGAAACAAGAAGGATTTCATTAAATAAACTATATATACTAAAGGCATATAGAGATAGCCATCCAACCATATACGTCAGAAATAGTTATGGAGCTCACCAGACAAAACCATCTTTATTTACTCCTTCTAATGACATCATTCGCGATGAACTGGGAAGAAGAAATACCACATTCTCGATATCAGGCAAAAAATCACTTGA